TGTTTATAGGTTTAATTCTGATTACTATTATAAATATTTACTTTGTTAGGATTATTATCAACTCGTTAAATTTTTATGACCTCGTTAAGTATCTCTTTTTTTCTCAGGGGATATTAAAAAGTTTTTTAATAAATAGCTTTTTTTTAAAAAATGCAACTTGAACTGTTTATTTTCTCATAATTTTCAGTTTAAATTATATAAAAATCTTTCAAGTTGTTTATCAATTAATAATTTTTTCGATTTAATTGTTTTTTGAAAAAAATTTATGCTCAGAGATTGTCCATTAGCATGCCTTTATTTTTTTATAAACTCTCTTGTTCTGATAACGAGAGAGAATCATTTTTTGAAATATACACATATAATAGTACAAGAGGTATCTAAAATTATCGGAAACGAATTCAGTTATTACATGATATGACACATTTTGGTAAATTTTTACAATGCTAAGTGAGCACCCTTTAGGGTGAGGAAACACCCTGCCCTTCTTTGTTCCTAGGGAGAACTCTGTACATCTATAAATATACCCATAGCAGAATTTACACAGTGAATCTGCAGTACTATCTTCACAAATCCAAATTTGTCTGCAACCACTGTGCAGTCAGAGATTGTTATTCTAACATGCATGTGCAAATATGAAGTCCTTAAAAATTATACATAACTTTGTGCTGTTTTAATTTAGGTTGAGATACAAGGATGCTAAAATAAAGTAACAAAAAAGAAATTCCTATACAGTCAAACCTGTAATCAAGTAACGGAAGAAGAAAAAATATTCTTTTGTTCTTCAATTCTACTTTTTAATTTCTGTTAGATCTCATTGGTTTGTTTTCTTTTTAGAAATTATTTTTTAGTTTAAATTTAGATATAGGCATGTGCGAATGTTGTAATAATCTGTCCTCTTGGAGGGGTTTCTGCTACTGGATATCCTTTTTAGATAAAGCAGTTATTTAAAAAGGACCCCCTAAAAAAAACAGAATTGTTATTAAACTTACTCAGAGTGGGAAAACTTGGAAAATACAAGTAATTTTAAAGGCAACTAAATAAACAGGGAAAATGAATGGAATTTTGAGTTTTTCTTTACTAATTGGGAAAATACAAGGAACTTCATCTCTTATTTTCGTCTTTTGAAAGTGGTGACCACTCAAAGCACAATTTAAGCAGGGGTCTGTTAAGAAGAAAATTGGGTCCGTTAACAGACCCTTCACAAAATATCTTTTCATAAAAAGGGACCTTTCACAAAATAATTTTTCTTTTAATCGGACCCTTCACAAATTGGTTTATCTTCATTATTGTTTTGTTAATCAAATAAACCGTTCTCGTGGGGGAGGGAAGAAAGACGATTCGAGACAAACTAAATTTCCCTAAGTTTAAATTTCAAATGTAGTATTCTAAGAAAATATTTCTACTTTTATAAACATCTTGCGCATATTCTTATTAATATTAAAATCATATATTTTTTTGTAAATAAAAATTAATTTCGGGCAATTTTTTAAATAAAATATTATAAATTTAAGAATTGTTTAAGTTTACTTAATGTGTAACACATTAGAAGTGATACATTACTAAGTTGTGATATTTAAAATAAGTCCGCTGAAATTATTAAAAATTTAAGTGATTTTCGTGCTAAATTAATTATTCGTTCGAAATAAATATTCTGCGTTGAGCAGTATATGCTAAATACTAAATATTTGTATGCTGCATCTCTAATTAAAAAAGTAGCAGCAATTGTTGAGCAGAATCTCATATCTATTTGCAATTTAAAAACTTCTTGAAAAGGTTTTTAGCAATTTTTGCTATAACAGGACCCTATTTGCACTAATTCACAATAGCAGGACCCTGATTGAAAGAATGTGACTTAACGCTTATTTTATATTCACAAATTATGAATAGTTTTTTCACAATTTTACAAAAACGGACCTTTCACAAACCAGGGTGGCCACTCAAATCAGATTTCAAATTTCCCTGATTTTTCCAGGTTTTAGTTTCTTTATTCTAATAAAGTGTAGGATGTGGGTACAAGAAAAGTGTCTATATTATAAAATATTTTGTTCAAAATGTTATTTTTTTAACATATCTTGAAAAAAATAATTTATTTTGATAATTTGGCAAGATTTTTTTATTCATTTTTCAATGTTTTGGTACAAAATTTTGAATCAAAAATCATATATTGACAAACAAAAGAGTAAAATTAAATATTAGTACATAGTCAGTTCTTAAAAAAAAAAAAACCTTTTTTTAAAATTAAAATATGTTATAAAAGGGGTTAAAATGAAATAGAAAAATTAGCATTAATGCAAGACTTGTAACAATTTGTCGATAAACATTGCTGTTAACGATTGTAAAAAAAAAATTTGTGATTGGTTGGTTTGCTGAGAAAAAATAATTCTCAGATGTCTTTTAATGGGAATACAAAAGCTTTCAGAAAAAGAGTGCAATATAAAATCTATTATTATTATTAAATTATAACCAACTAATTTTTGGAGAATTTTATAAAGTTAAAAATACAAAAAAATTTTGTCAAAATGGAAAAAAATTACCACGAAAGCATTGGAACAAACTTATGCCATAAATGGATTCAGCCCAAGGACAGAGTTTAAAAACAGAAGCTAATATCATAATCCCTTCTTCCACCTCCCCCACAATCTTTCCTAAATTGCACAGTCCATAGCTGTCAAAGGTTTCCACATTTGTTTAGCAACGGTGGGGGAATTTTATGTGGCATTCTAGTTTAACAGAGCTGTAATGGAGCAAATTTTGATGCAAGCAAAATATTGCTAAATTGATGATATTACAACTGCTTGGAGAAAGTGGGGGGAAAAAAGTGGATATAATGGATGAAATAATTTAAATTAAGAAAATTAGTAAATAATTTAAATTAGTGAAATTAAAAAAATTTCCAGCTTTTCTTTAAAATTCCCTGATTTTTCCTGGTTTTTATCCAAATTTCCCTGATTTTTTCCAGTATAAATAAATTCCTTGATAATTCCAGGTTTTCCAGGTGGGTGGCCACCCTGAAAACGTTTGGACAGAAGACCCTGCTATGAGATATTTAAGGCAGTGTTCTCCTTAAGCGTTTTTAGAAGGGCTGCCTGCCTTATTTGCCCTCTGATCCCTGTAAATTTGCCCTTCTAGTAAAAATTAGCTGCCATCCCTTAAAAACACTGCCTTTTTACTCAGATTCCATTTTTAAAAAAATAAATAACTCACTGTTTAAATAATAATTACTGGTAAAATGATTTATTTATAGGTCTAATTCTGATTACTAACAAATATTTTCTTTTTGAGAATTATTTTCAACTGGTTAAATTTTAATAAGTTTCCCTTTTTTCAGGGGGTGTATTAATGACTCTAAGTGATTTTAAAATAATTTTTTTAAATAAATACCTTTTTTCTTAAAAATGCACATTAAAATGTTCATTTTTAATAGTAATTGGTTTTATAAAAAAAACTTCAAGTTTATCAATTTGTCATACTTTTTTTGAAAAATATTTATCCTCATAGATTTGCCTTTTAGCATGCCCTTTAAATTACAAATCTTTCTCTTGTATTGATAATGTGGGATAATTACTTTCGGAAATATATACAGGGTGTACCAAAATTCTCTTTACAATTTCAAAAATTCATAACTTCGAAAATAAACAAGGTATTTATATTCTGTCTTTTGCATGTATTACTGCAACTAATAAAGTTTTGTTTAGTACACTTCAACATGCGCACCATTGGTGGCCCTAAGCACTTCCAGTCTGTAATCAATTACAAGCCAGGTGATGTAAAGATAATTTTGGAACATCCTGTATATAAGATAGTATAAGAAGGTTTATAGTTTAAAAATGATCAAATTCAGTAATTATCCAATTTTTGCGATGTTAAGTGAGTGCTCTTTTTTAACCCTAGGAAGATCTCTGTTTTAAGGATGATTAATTCAGTACATTTGTTGTTTAATCCTTTTTTGTACACGTAATGGAAATGTGGGAATCGTTTCATACCTTGACGGTCAGACAGCTAGTTTAGGTATAACAATGCCAAAACATGCTATAGAATGTTGGCTTTCAAACTATGTCTATACATATCAAGATGGAAGAGCTGTTCGAGGGCGCTCACCTCCCATTGAGGTGATTGTGGGAGGGGTAAGATGCTTTCTCTCTATCTAACGCAAATACACATTAGTTCCATCAAAAAGGTGGACCAATGTTCTCCCAATACTCGATCAAACTACAGTATGATATGTTTTAAGTATGTTAAACAGTTGCTAAGTTTTATCCACAATTAATACTGTCATAGTTAGCCTGATATAGCCCACTCAAGAGCACTGTGATTGTGTGTTTCCTCTTAATAGATTGTGTATGATATGTACAGATAAAACACAGGGAATTTTTTTTTCCAGATTTGATCAGCAACCCTGTTATTTAAAAACATAATCTGCAAAACCACAGTTTAATATATGATACTATTAAACTTCTTACAGTATTTTAGTTCTCAGGTAATGTAAGTGCCTGGAAACAAATTCAGTTTTTGCATTTCTTGGCATCTAAAATAATAATAAAGACAACAATACTTAAATTTAAATATAAGATGTATGTAAAGAGGGAATTATGCATACAAAAGTATATGCTTTAAAATTATTTTATAGTAAAATATGAAAATAAATGAACATTAAACAATTAAAATTTAAACTTTGTAAAATAAGCTTCCTATCTAAATGTAGGTAAGTTTCAAGCTATTTTTATAAATTTTAAGAACTTTCTTAAAATAAAGAAATAGCAAATCTTTAAGTAATAAAATTTTAAGATGCAATTCAAATTCATAAACTTAATACATAAATTTAAATAATCCTTATATAATTAAAATTTATAATAAATTTAATTTATCTTTTCAAATGTAAAAAATATGGCAAAAATGATAGAAGAGGTACTCCGAATGGAGTAAAGAAATGGCATAGAAATAAATTTAGATGATACATTTTATTCTAAAATTCATTAGAAATTCACAAGAATTTTGCTTACTTCAGGTGCGGTGGTGCTCAGGGAGTGCTGTTCCACTCTTCACTTAGAATTATCAATGAAAAACATACTTTTTAAGTGTATTATGGTTTTTTTAGTGCATTCTTGCTGTGTTTCAAAAATATGAATGCTTCACTTGCCAGATCAATTAACTCTGTTTTCTGAATTTTATTAAATTTCAATATTAAAAGCATTCCATTGGCTCCTAACTGAATTTGTTCAAAACAATTTTCTCTTATAATAAGTATTAGCACCACTAAATGACAGATTTTTTTTTAGTCATGGAATAATTAATTTAAAAAAGCCAATCTGATCGGTAAAGAAGAAAGCACTATTTCATATAATTCAAATGAACCATCCAGTGCTTAGAAAATACTATCATCAATAGAAAGGTAACAATTGGCTGCAAATGCATTGGATGAAATTAGAAACCTCACCTCATACAATTCAAGTATGACTTAGACACAAAATTTAATGCGATTAATATTAAAAAATGTGTAGTGGGTAAACGTCTGCATTCAACTGGGACAATTATATGATTTAAATTCATTTCTCCTATTAAACACGAGTATTATGGATAAATCGACATATAGCTAATGAAAAATACATTGATGATGAATCCATTTAAACAAAATAATACTCGTAATATTATGTATCAGTAACAAAACAGTTATTATTCACTTTCGCTAAAATCTTTATTAAAACATATTTTATACAATTTAGTTTTTCCAGAATAAAATAAAAATATTCCATGAATTAATAATTTTCTTCCACTTGCCAAAGCGATTAACTCCTTTAATCAAGAAAAAAATTTTAGTAATAATGACACTCTTAGGATATTTAATAAAGAAAAATATCTTTACCTGCTGTCTAATATGGTATTATTTTCAATACAAATATTGAAGCATAACCAGTTTATTGGAAAATCTTACACGTAAAACCTTATAACTTGATTATTTTTAAAAATAAGAACGATCACTAAAGGTTATTATCAGTTATTCCGTTATTGGTTTAAAGTAAGGGGAATTCCCTTTTACACTCGAGAACTTCAGACTTTACATCTGCTTTAGAGCGCATGCGCTGAAAAACTTTCTACCTTGCGGTCCTCGTTGCTGTCTCGCAGTTTTTGACAGTCAATGAATTGGGGCCTGATCGTTTCTTAAATTTTTTTTTTTACATCTGGAATATTTTACTTTACGAATCAAAGTCGTAGCGTCGAGGGGGCGCCCCTTAATTTTAAAAACATCAGAATTTTTTAAATTTTTTCCTTTTTTTAAAAAATTACTTTTTAATAAAAGATTAATTTAGATGATTTATCAATAATTTATTCTATGTTATCTCACTTTTATGTAAATGGTATCTTAGAAATCATATAATGTCTTTTTTTTTAAATATTTCGATTATTACTTAATGATTTCAGCATTAGTTTATAATAGTGGTTTTTATTTAGTTAGTTTCATTTATGCTCGATATAATTTTTTAAGCATATTCTATTCACTCAACATAGTGTCATAATTTCTAGACATGCTATTTACTTTTTGTAACTTATTTTTGTCTTAAACAACTTGTTTGGAACTGATTTGCTCCCTTCTCATATTAAGATTATATAATGCATAGATATATTCACTAGATTTTATGTAGGTATAATTTGATAGAATTTTTCGTTTCATTTCAGACAAGATATTCATTGCTTCAAAGCTTTCAATAGAATGTGTTTTATATTATTTTATTTGATTAGTAAATAACTTTTAAAAACTTAGCACTGGACTTGCACTAAATGCATTGTATATTATTGCACGTAGGGAAAATGCTATTCTTTTAGAATATAAGCGAATCTCATATCTAGGAATAACGCTGTTAAATAAAGTACACTATGATGGATTTGATTTTCTCATAATTATCCGGATAACAGTTAAAAACGAACTAAATCTGTAAAAAATTCTTTACATGGGTATAGCGACCACTCATTACAATTATTTATGCTTCTCTCTTAAAGATATATTTTGTGATTGTTTTAGATTTTATACTATTACATTACAACTATATGTTCCACAATTAAATTCTTATAAGAACAATTTCCTAATATTTGCTTAAAAGAGTAAATATAAAAAAATCTGAGAATAAAAAGCTAAAATAACTAATATATCAACAAAAAATTTATACTTATTTAAAAGTATACGTTGAAATCGAGAAAAATTGAATTTTTATGTTATGATCCTTAAGGTGAGGGGAAAATAACGGACTACCTTGAGTAATTTTTGATCCTAAGATCCGATCTTCACATTCTAGTATGCATTGTACCTAAACAAGTAAAATTAACATGAAGTGATCCAAACTTCAGATCGTTCTCTTGATAAAACTATGGGGACCCTATTTCACTGATTGATCATTAGATCCTGATAATTAGATTAAAAATAATTCAGGGTGGTCCGATTTTATTTATTTTTTTTCGCCCTGTACTGTAAATCTTAACTTTGACAGAAAGTGGTTATACATAAGAATTTTTACCATGGTTTTTTCTTAATTTTTAGAAAATAAAACATCCAAATTCAGATTAGCCATCTTTTCACAATATACCCTTGTCTTGAATACATGACAGGCATCCTTACGAAAGTTTTTAGTAATGTCAATATAAAAGTTATTATGCCCTCTGTTAAATGCATAAAATTACTTTTAAAATTAAAGAAATTTATAAAATTTTCTCTGTATATTTCTTTTAGAGTTTTAATATTGATATTCTGAATAATAAATAAATAAGTTAATGAAGGAAGGAGAAGAAAAAAAACTGCTTGCCCTCTTAAAAATTTGTTTCACGCCACGCCTATATTTTTTCCAATTTGAAAAAAAAAAAAATCTATTTTCTACATAAGGCCGTTTCTACTCTGAGGAAGAGGTGGAAAAATATTTAATACAAGATATATTTATTTTAAACGAAGTAAAATAAGACCTTAATTATAAAATATTCATTGTTTTGCTGATAAAAAATCAGTCCTATACGTATGATATTACTGTTTATTGATAAATAAAAGCTATGGAGTAATTTTCTATTTGTGTGTGTGAGAGATATGTTGGAAGGATTTTATATCCTAGGGAAAGTAGCATTTCCCTCTATTTTATTAGATCTCGAACCAAAAATAGATTAATAGACGACAGGATGTGAAAGTGTGTTCCGTTTTGAATAATAAATTAAGAATAACATAAAAAGATTAATTAAAGCATTTTTAAGTTATACGTAACCGTTGTTGATCAGCCGACCTAATTTCGAATTTATGACTACCAATGTTCGACTCCCTGTAACTGTCCATTGATTCCTCGTAGTTTTGAACCCAATACAGAAGACAAGGTAACTCCTCGATCAAGTATCGGCAGAAAATTTGACTTCGTGGAGAACTTTTTGATGGAGCTAACCCGTATTTGCTTTAGAAGGAGAGAAAAACCTCGAAACCCTCCCACGGTCACCTCAATGGAAGGTGAGCGCTCTATCCCTCTAACAGTTCTTCCTACGTATGAGTAAAGTTTGAAAGCCAACATTCTATAGCATGTCTTGTTATACCTAAACTAGCCGTCTGTTCGTCAATGTATGAAACGATTCATATTTCCCACATTTCCATTACATGTACAAAAAGGATAATTCTATACTCAGAAACTATTCAACCGATTTCTCCCAAAATTTATATTTTGTCATATAAAATTAAATGCTTTAAAATGATGTAAATAACTATATACCTTACAATTCAAAATTTTTTCGACTGTTATTAAATAAAATAATAAAGAATAATAAAAATAAATATTTATTAAAATTAATTTTTTGTATAGAATTATTTTTGGGCAAACGAGTTTTATAATTGTGTGCAAAAATTTTTTCAATTCGTTAGAAAAATTCTCGGGATTTGGCGTAATACGCAAAAAGTAAAATTAACATTAAGGGTTCCAAAATTTGGATCATTCTCCTGACCAAACTATGGGGACCATATTTCTTAAATTGTGGCTACCCCCTATATTTTGAGGTTCAGAAATCTGAATCCGCCGAAAAAAAGGTGCATTTATTTAGAGAAATTAAGTTTGATTTCGTAACTTAAAATATCATCTGCACTTATTAATGACCATATTCGAGATCACCCTCGAGCCATTAAGATTGAGTCCTAGAGCGGGAAAATCCAATCATTAGGATCAAAAGTTATTCCGGGTGGTTGCGCACTTTTCAACATATTTACATTTGACATGCTTATATTGTATGTATTTGACATGCATATATTGTACTTAAAACTTTTGTACAAGTTTACATTTATGTTTGTCCAATGTATGTAATACGTACAATGCATTTATGTCCTATGAATGTATGTACATCCATATGTACAATATATGCATGCATAATGTATGCGTGTATGTATATACATTGTACATACATACATTACATTTATACATATGTACATACATTGTATGTATGTATACATACAATAAATATACATAGATATATTGAACACTAGTACAATGTATGTATGTCTAAATATATGTACAGTGCAATAAATAAAATTCGTGTAAGTTAAGTGTAAAGCTGATAACTCAAACAATTAAATGACAAAATCAAACGATATATAAATTCAGTTGTCAGCTTAAAATTGTTCAAATTATTTGAAGAAAAAATAATTTTTATGTATTTTCATAAAATGTTTGAGGCTACAAATTTATTTTTTTGAAACGTGTTGCATTGTTCATATAAATTTTTAGATGGCAAAAGAAACGTTTAATTTTTGATATGGAAATTATGTTTAGGAATTTAAAATAAGATTATCGTTTGCTTTCCAAAACAATAAGAGATTGAGTTTCATATGCATTAGAAAAAAGTATAAAAGACGAACTGACATAAAGTTTTTTAAACATAAATCAACATAAGGACGACAATAATGTTACGCTGGAGTAAGTTAAAGTAACGTAAATAATCATATTAACCTCAGTTTTACTAAATTGCATAAGATGATAAAGAGCAAACTAAGTTTTGTATCTCTCTCGGTCCGTGTAAACTCATATCCTTGATGGCTAATTAATTTGACATACACGCCCAATGTATGAGACATTATAATACATATACTATAGTGTTCGAATTAATTGGGACAAGCAAGGTTTTCTCATTCGAGTTGGTATGGGATTGCCAGTGATGTCCCGAACCGCGTCAAATCAGTTATATCTGCCTTGAGCTGCGGTGACGGATAGACCTTCACTATAATTTACTCATCTGACTGGTTTTAGTGTATTTGTAGTTCAGTTGTGAGCATTTCAGTGTGGAAACTGGTGGTTATAATTTTGAGTATAGTCTAACACAATTTATGTGCTTATAAAAGATTGATATTAGTCCGAGGAAGCGCTCAAAATTTTTGCTCTTAATGAACACACTTCTATGACTGTAAGAGACATCGCTACAGCAGTTGGCGTAGGGAAATCTAGTGTTTCCAGAATTCTTAGAACATTTTAAAATTCCGGCTCATCCTCTCCAAAAAGAAAAGGAAAATGTGGACGCAAACGGAAAACTACTCCAAGAACTGATAAAAGTCTAATAAGAAATAGTAAAATTAATCCAAGAAAGACGAGCACAGACCTCCGAAGGGATTTATTGGATTGTGGTGTTGATGTGAGTACTTCAACTGTACGAAAAAGGCTTCTAGAAGTTGGACGTAAGGCAAGAAGACCAAGGAAANATAAGATAGGTTGAACTCCGACCCACCCCAGGGGGGTATACGGAGATAAAAATAAAATTATTACAATAAAAATTTCTCTAAAAACTGAAATTACAGTAAAATTTTGCCAAATGACAGTGATGGTGATCAGTTAAAAGTGGATTAACTATAATACTTGACAATTAAAAACATGTTTTAAAGGCAATGAAATCCAATAGCGCCGGTGTAAATATCGAGAATTAAATAAGGAAACAAGAGACAAAAAATCTCAAAACTAAAATCAATGAAAGCTAAAAGTCCTAAGAGTAAATGTCTAAAAGTAAAAGTCTGACTAGAAGTCGATGAAGTCTAAAATCAAAAGTAGTTGAAATTTCAAAATGTAAGGCTAAAAGTTGATTAGTTAAAAAATTTACGATGACATGCTCTATTGTTGGTTCATGACTGGGGTCAGTTTATCTGGGGCTAAAATGTCCTCGAAGGTTTGTTTAATAATTTGAGTCACAATTTTCCTGCAGGTCAATATGGCAAAGAATTGGTGTTCCTCTTCGCAGTTATTCATGTGGGTTCCACGAAGTGCCCGGAATCTTGGACAGTGCTTAATTAAGTGTTTAATGTCCTGTCTCACTCCACAGTAATTGCATGGAGCTGATTTTCTGAAATATTTTTGTTGATAGGTCCCGAACTCGTTGTAATCATGATTCCAAGTAATTGATTACTGTAATCGACTATGTAATCATGATTACAGCTGTAATCATGATTACAAGTAATTGATTACTGTAATTAATATTGTAATCATGATTGCAGCTGTAATCAAAATTTTTGAAAATTTTAATCATGATTAAAAGTAATTAATTACTGTAATCAAGAAATGTAATCGATTACATTTTTGGCCAACTCTGCTTCATAGTTGGTAGTTAACATTGATTTGTCACACGTTGACCAACTAAACTACGAATATTCTGTATTCGTTTGCTTCCATACTACTCAAATTTTGACTCGTCGGTAAACAAAACATGTGACCACTGTTCTCAAGACCAGACATGTTTTTTAGCCCGTTGCAAACGTTTAACTATGCTTTGTTTTTTAAAAGAGGTTTTCTAGCAGCTACACAACCCGAAGTCGACGTTGTAGTACAGTAGTAATTACTGACCCAGTTTTCTGCCTAGTATTTAATTCCTCGAGGATTTCTGGTGCTGTTCGAGTCCGCTGCAACTTGCTTTGAATGCAAATAAATTTATCCCCACGTTTGGACGTTATTCTAGGCCTCCCTGATCGTTCGAGGCTCTTATTTTGGTCAGTTTCTTTCTTCCTTTGCAAATTTCTGACAACAGTGGTCTGGGAAAAATTAGTTTTAGAGGCAATTTGTAGACTTGAATAGCCTTCTCCATGAAGTACAATCATAATTGCGAGTGTTTCGACACTTTTTTCTGATTTTTGACCCATATTTCTGTAACAAATTGTATAAAAAAATTTTAACTTTTGTTTTTAAAATGTACCAGTTATTCTGGCAAATTAAGGCTATTATATACAATATTTTAAACGTGTTATGTACATGAACTTAACTTGTAATGAACCTTACAAAAGAAGATGAAAAGTTAATTGCTTATAAACTAAAAATTAATGAACTATTTTTAAAGAAATAAATTATTATTATTATTATTTATTTATTTTTTTGGAATGGGTATTTTACACATGCACTTTCGCTCATTTCGTAATCAACTACAGAATTGATACAAAATGAAAAAGTAATGAACAGTTTTATATGGAAACAGTGTTTCGAGAAGTTTATGTTTGATAAATTATATGTTTAAGTCGGAAACATTAAGCTATTTTTGAAATAAATACAAGTGAGCCTAAACTTGTGACCGGTACTGTGTATATTGGAATCACAAATCGTAATTACTTGTAATCGTGTATTTTGATTTTAAAAAATCCTGATCTCATTTAATCATATATTTTGGTTACCTGTAATAGTAATGACCCGTAATTGTTTTTGTAGTGATTACTTGAAATAACAATTACTTGGAATCATGATTGCAGTTGTGATCAAACTTATGGTGAATTGTAATCAAGACTACAAGTGGTTGATTGTAATTGATTGTTGTAATCAGGATTACAGCTTATTTACAGAAAATTATGAAACGTTGTAATCGTGATGACGAGTAATTGATTACTGTAATCGAAAATGTCATCGATTACATTTTTGCCCAACTCTACTATGTATGCTAACGTTGCTACTAATTTGTTTACACCCCTCGTACGTATACCAAAACAAAACACGAATAACGCTAAGAAACTGTCACTGAAAAAGATGCTTATAAAAAACTTTATTATTATTATAAAGTGGAAAGTGTGTGACGAGAGCCCGACCATGGCGCTTATTCTCAAGATGCGAGAAGGTTAAAAGCAGAACAGGGTGGGAAAAAGAAAAGACTGAACCAAAAAATTTTGAAGGATAATAAGGATACAATTTTCATTGATAAATACACTTTACTAATGCTTTCTGTTTTTATTTATTTGTTCAAAAAACGTTGATTTTACATCTTTCTGCATAAATGTCGTCTTTTAATATTTATAGAGTCAATTTTTTTTCCTTGGTAAAGTATATTTTACTCAGGCGAAGTTATTTCCTCTGTAACTTGAAAGTTATCCAGAGATTTAAACAGATCACGTGGTAATAAAAATGGTTGGCGATACTTTTCATAATAAAATAGAGCATCTGTGTTCGAAGTTTCAAGCTGCGATTGTAAGCCACCCGTTCTGATGACGTTTTCGAACTGACTGAAGTTCTAACATCAAGTACAAATTACACAGACGAAGTTACTTCCTCTATAACTTCGATGTTATCCACAGCTTTGACCGGATTACGAGGTAACAGAAACGGTGGAGGATACTTTTCACAATAAAACAGTGCATCTGAGTCCGAAGATTCTAGCTGCGATTGGAAGCCACGCTCATCGGAATTAATGACGTTGTTTTCAAACTCACTTAACATCAAGAATTTTTCTTCTTTATTGCAGGATGTGATGCAGTCTTCTATATAGTCTTCCATAAAATTATCCACCAGTATTTCCTCAGAAATACACGTCAGCTCTTGTGCTTTTCTCAAATCCCCGTAATGGATCGGAGGGGCTAAGCTATGAATGGTTTCTTGGGAAAGCTTTCTTTGGTTTATAACTTTTTGAAGAAGATTTTCAGCGTTCAAAGCTGCCTCTTTCTTTTTCTTTTGCTTCTTTTTGTAGATGTCAATCAGGAACAAAGACATACTGCCAATAAAGACGAAGATGGCAGCCACATAATAGCCTCGCTTTAATCCTAATTCCTCATTTATGTAATCTGAAACAACAAATTGACAATTCTTTTGTATTTTACAAGATAGCATGTGACTTTGTTAAGAAACATTTGTTTAAACCCGTTAAAAAATATATTCTTACTTAAGTGTACTAATGATTTGATAGTTCTTTAGTGTTTCATTAATTTGAAATAACAACTGATTTTAAAAAAGAATGCCATTTTAAACCTTTTAAAAAAAATATCTTGTTATCTAAGTGTACAAATAAATTGGCAGCTCTTTTGAATTTCGTTAATTTAAGATAACAACTGACAGTAAAAAGGAATACCATTTTAAATCTTAAAAAAAAAATCTATTGTTACTTAAGTGCGCAAATAAAATTCGGATTCTTTTGCGTTTTATTCATTTAAGATTGCAAATTTAATTAGAAAGAACACCAGTTTAAATAGTAAATAGAAATTGTTACTTTTTGTTTTAAACGTAGTGGAGAGATATAAAGTTAGATCCGTTATCTCTATAAAAAAAGAACGTGAATATAACTTTACATATTAAGGGGTACATAAATTATTATTTAAGTGAGAAAAATCTGCGCCTAAACCATGATGCATCATTACTGAGGTGCGTAAAAGCAAAACGAAATTAAAATCAACAAAACCCTGTCTTTTGACCAGTGAGACCAGAATATAGTTTGTCTAAAGTAATAATTCCCTTATCTATTCGTTTGGACCAGTGGCGATGACTGAGGTATGACTATTTGAAGTAGGGGTGTCACTGTTTAGGACAAGTTTTGACTCAGGTTGGCGAGAGAAAAGTAATTTTTTTCTTCGTTCTATTGTCTTAGAGTGAAAAGGAGCTACCCTCCCTAAAATGTACCATTCTTGTTTCCATAGCAGCAGACGGCCTCAGACATTGTGGCTGGGAGAGTTCTTACCATAGACAAACTATACATTCTCACCGCCAAGCTTTATCTCTCAACAAACTAGTTTTAGATTATCCTAATCTCTCCATTCCTCTTATTTACTTCAACAGTGAGCTTCTAGGAGGTTTTCGGAGTGGTAGAACGTTTGTGGAAGTATATTTCGCAACAAACAGTCGACGAGTAATCTCAAAACTCTCTCATTTGCTAATAAATTAAAACGTTGATATTGCGAACGGTTTAAATGAGGGATAGGGATTAAGAGATTTCAACGAATTGGAAGCTTGAGAACGATAAATAAAGACAAGACTAAATCTTTATATTCTGTTTTTAATGTACACATTTTAAAAGTTTACTACAACTTATTTATAAATGGTGACTGGTGCACATTAAATCTGTCGGGTCACAAAGTCTTCCATGTTATCATAACAAACCAATACTTCTGGGGATACAGAATTGGAGATTGATCGTTCTCTGGGTTAGGTCAAAATTACAATCTGTGGAGGAATGAATGTATGAATGGGTCAGCCCTTTAAAACGGGCTGCAACGTGTTTGTCATAGGTAACGTAAGTCGTTTTCTCCGCCATAGATGGCGCCGGAGAAAAACTAGAGCGTACCCTCTGCCTTAAATTCACTTGGTCTCAGCAAGCAGGCTTGCTGGTATTAGCAAATTTCATTAGAAACAACTACGAAAGATATTTGAAACATAAAATGCAAAGTTTGCAACGAAAAGAAATCAGTAAAAGCGAGAAACAAACCTAAAAAAACCTCAATATCTAGGAGAGAGAAAAAGATTAAAAACAGAACAAGAAAAACAATAGTGGCCGAAATGGAAAAATTAAGGTAAAAGGCATTTCCGCGTGCTATGGAGAGGTGGCGAGGAAATCATGTCATTAACAATAGAATCGGCAGTTTTATGAATAAAACTAGTGTCTAAGGCATCAAGATGAGTTGATAATTTTGGCATCATCAAAAATGAATTTATGCCCAAGATTCCAACAATGTGCAGCAATTGATGATTTCTTGTATTCTTGATAACAGACATATTTATCACACTCCTTAAATCTATTTTTCCACTTCTCGTTGGCAACTTTACGTTTTACATTTCAAATCACTTTTGTTTCTCATTAGCGTCTTGAAAATGTGTTTGTGAGTGCTTGAAATTTGTCGACTGTTATTTTCAATTTGTATATTTTTGAAGCGAATAAAGTTTTTGAATGTATTTTACAGTTTCTATTTATTTAATTAATTCTTCTAATCACAAAGCATTTTAGTCATTATCAACTGTCATCCTCTGTGTTCAGAAAATGGGGAAAAATCTGGTTTCAACCTTGAAATCATTTAATCGATTCCTTTACAATGAAATTTCCAATGAACAGTGAATCAAGCAACAAAATAAACATATCAGAGTGTTCTCTAAATTATAACATCCTTAAATGCTGGTGAAAGCGCAAATTTTACTCCACTTTTTGAAAGAAAGAAAAAGAAAAAAACGGAAAGTGTTTGTGTTTTCATTTTTGAGAACTAACTGCTAAAGCCGCTATTTTTGACGTTTTCTGATTAAGATTCTTCGTAATGGTAAGCAGTAGCAATATAAAAATTAAATTCACAACTAAAAGCAGGATTTTAACTCACATATTATTTCTTAGAAAAGATGGTTAGGACATTTAGATAATTGCATTCGTTGCACTTATGAAAGTACTTCTTCTTACCTAATCAGGTGTGGGAATCTCAACTAACTTAGTCACATAGTTTTTTTTTTTTTTTTAATTATNTTTTTTTTTTTTTTTTTTTTTTTTTTAATTATATTCTTATTTTAGCTTATTTTTTATCTAAATATATAAGTTTATAAAGAACGTGTAAGTTTATATGCTTGCATATACACTTGTTACATATATACACTACTCCTTTGAAAATAACACTTATAGCATAAGACCTTAATGCATCGCATCATAAATTGAAATATATTATAACATTTCAATACCACTCCCTACGTAGCAAAGAAGTGGGGACACTTAGTATTCACTTGAGTGAATTTTAAAAAATATTTGAATTTTAGGAAAATATTTATAAATTGCATAAAAACTGCAGCTTGTAAAGAAACACTGATTGCAGATTCGTGACGAAACAGAGGACAAAAAAAAATGGTCCGCAGTCTTGTTTGAAATTTTGTATGTAATGGTTAAAATTACTATAAATTAACTTTGTCAGACCAAGATAAATACACTAAAGAATACATTTTTGTTCCCACTATAAATATAAAAAGAAAATCTTTGGCGAAGATTAGGAGATTCGAGATCTATAGCATTGTTTGGGAACATAAAAATATACAAAAAAAATTATAATTATTAATATATTAATTTCATCAGTGAAGAACCTTCTCTAAATTGAAGATTTTATTTCTTTTTTAGAGAATACAATTGCTTTTGAAAAAGTTAATGTTACTAAATAATTATTCTCAGCAAAGCAGCAAATATATTTCAAAATTACAATTTATAGCTTCAAACTGTATTTTTTTCCCATACCCTTTAATGCTCTACTGCAAAATATGATTTTTTTTTGAAAAACTCCTGAGAAAATACGTTTTATATCTGATTTTGTGACTTAAAATATCGTCTGCACTCATTCATTAGCATATTTGAGGTCACCCCTTCGAACCTTTAAGATTGAGTCCTACATCGTGAAGATCCGATCATGACATCAAAAGTAATTCAGGGGGGTCCGCTTTCTTAGTTTTCGCCCTGTACATAAAAAAAAAAGGTTACGGGACATTTGAAACTTAGAAGGTAAATGAAATTATTTTTTTTACAAATACTATGCTATTTTCCTAAATGCTTTGAGTTTACAACAGTTGCTCATGACTTTTAGATCAAGTTCAGCCTATTTTTAGCCAGCGCCACATCTTTGTTTATTCTGAAAATAACGCAAAATGTCAGTATACAGGAAAGTCACAGTTGTGAGAAAATAAAAAATGTTTTTGTTTTAATTCCTTAATGTTTAAAAACTTACTCTAATGCTCTGTCATTATCTTCTAGGCCCATAAAGATGTTCAAATAATGAGAATAAGGCATTTATTTTTATAATTTTCATGTATGTGGAAATATGTCTCCAAATTAGTGGTTTCTTAAAGTTATTTGTCCTTTCTAATTCTTCACGGAAAATGGCATATATAGTTTTTAATTATTGCTTCGCTTCAAGTGTAAGGCTCTTAAACTGTGTTCACTTTGCTAACACTGATGCTTTTTTTTTTATCTAAGTGGTGGAAAAGCAGAAGTGAGGAAAAAAAACTGCCTGACAAAAAAAAAAGAAGGTAAACATTTGTCCCATAACAAAGTGGATAATTTCTATTATTAGCTACTACCCTTAGTTTTTAACAAAAAATGTAATAGTTCAATCATTATCGTTTTTTTAAAAAAGAAAAAAAAAAGAAAGTGACTCCTGTTTTGGGAAGTTGTTGTATTGCTTTGTTCTTAGCATTCATTTTGCAATATTAAGACGTTCGTATTAACTACGATGTGTTACTACTTAGAAGGTGACTAGTGATTCCTCAAAATTATTGTACTGATATATAAATTTTTGTTATAAAATGTATCTCATGTTTTTAAAAAGTTTACATAATACATTCCCATCACCGCATAACTCAAACACATAAAATGAGTTATGTTCTAGATGGGGGTGAAATGGTCCCATTTAGAGGTTATTGATTATAATGCTTCTCTCCGCTTTGATAACAGAATGACTATTGTTAAATTCTAACACGCAGAATACTTTCTGCACGAGACTCCAGGGCTAAAGAGAATAGAAGGGCTAGTTCACTCCGCTCTTAGAGCGGAAGCTACGATTTCCCTCCTCATGACGTCACTGTGTCCACAGATCTCGGAGATCGCAAGCAAAGATATGATAACTTTGCATCTTTCTCTTTGTAAAAATAAGTTAGACTTTTTCTGGTTATTAGCCTTCAAACTTTACGTAATTAACACANAAAAAACTTTCTTGGTCATTATATTAAAAAAAAATACCATTTTAAACTTATAAAAATATTTTGCTAGTTGGCGAAAATGACACTATAAATACTTTATTTTAAAAAGTTCAGTTTTATCTTTAATTATTAAGTAAATGAAAACATATATCGACACTTTTTTTATCTACATATTCTTTTATAACGATAAGTTGAGTTAAATTTAGAATCCCTGATTTTTAAATATGTCGTTAATAGCAATTTTTTCATACTTAATCATTAGGAAACATCAACCTTAAACACTAATTGCTGAAACAAAATAATAATTTAGGCTCATAATGACATTAGAAATTTTACAATTGCTTATAGATATTTAAATTTACGATGATATAATTTATAGAGATTTAAATTGAGGAGAATATAATTTTTTAAAAAAATCATAAATATTTAGAATAACTACATTAAAAAATATGTTATGAAATTAGGAGAATTTCAACTATATACTATATATTTAATTTATACTTTTTATTTACATTTTAATTTTCTTTGACTTTATCCATTTTTTAATTCTTTTCACCTGCCTTTCTTTTTGAAGTAACGAGGCGGTTTCTATTTAGATAGTGAATTTTTATAAAAGTTCTTAACGACAGAATAAACGTATTGCTGTTTTACATTAACTGTGTCATTTCGGAATCCATTCTTTACATAGTTGTTCATTTATTTTAGGGAACACGCGAAAAATTATACTTTTTCCTTTTGTTTTTATATCAGAATTTTTGCAAGTTGCAATCGCGCAAACTGGCATTTCGATAATAGTTTTAAATTCTTGTAAATTCACTGCAAAAACTGAGGAAAGTCATTATAGAAAATAACAAATGTCTTAGAATATCTCGCAAAAAGAAATGATCCAATATTAGTTAGAGCTAGTAAGGCTGAACGCTCCGTTCTTGAAGTAAAAGTGCGAGCTTTGCGCCAAAGTGACGTCACTAGAGAAAATCGGAGGATTGGCGCGGCGAGAGTTACTTCAAAGGAGTGAACCAGCCCTTCTATTCTCTTCCCTGACGAGACTCACTTTCACTCATGAACTCGCGCATGCGCAGAATTCCGTTTCACTGCACCTTACGTAAAGAAACGTACGTAAAGAAGTCCCACCAACATTCTATGTTAATCTTATGGATAAATTTTTTTTCATTAAATAGTTAAAGCTGTTTGTAATCGCTATATTCATTTTAAATTACCCTGTAATTTAAAATGAATTACCCGGTACCTGCAGAATAAATCCTTAGTAATGAAACACTAATGATACAATTTTCTTTCTCTTCAAAAAAAAAAAAAAAAAAAAAAAAAAAAAAAAAAAAAAAAAAAGAACCGTCCTTTATCTATACGTAGTTAATTTTATTCCACGTGCATATACGGTGTTAAGACAGAAACGGCTGAGAATTTTGCCATTTACCACTTTCGAAAAAATTAATTTTATAAAAGTCACATGCATCCTATACAAATATGAAAGCTTAAGTTGCTATTATACAACAATGAATATGCTTTTGAAAACTTACATATTACTGGCAATCCTAAAGAGCTTGGTAATGCTTGGTAACCAATAAGAAATCCCCAAGTATTGGCATAATTTCTGGCTCTAACTTTCTCGAAAACGCATAGTTTTAAAGAATAAATGTATCCTCCGTAAAAAATCCCATAGATCCACACAAATAAAAGGTATCCGTAAAAGTTGCTCAATGTTGGATAAGCAACAAGCCAGCCACTGATCGCAAAAGCTGATGCTTGGCATAAATACTGCCTGGCAATATTGCACTGATCACTATTTTTTATCACTATAATGCCAAATGCTGCCGTTCCTAAGCTTATTGCAACACCTAAATATAATTGCAGATAGTACATGCTTTTCAAATCTAGTTCATCATTCTTCATTTCTTCTATCTAAAAAAAAGAAGAGAAATAGGCAATTAACAGGTTAACTCCGCATTTTTTTTATGTTACATTGATAATAAAATTAGTTTACATTTACACTATTAAAATAATGGATATTAACTCTTTGCTTAGTTTCAAATAATCACAATTGTTAAATTTCGGATCTATGTAAGAGGTATTCTACAATCTCCTCCGCTATCACAGATATTTTTAGTTAAGAGTAAAGTCAACACATTAGGGGTCGATTATTAATATTTAAGAAAAGGAACTGCCGAAACATTAGTGGGTGTGAAAACATCAGAACCTGATTGATAAATAATATTATATAGTTTGTACAAGCTTAAATTCATATATTTAAAATTTGTGTAGCAACCATAATCAATTAGACAAATATTAAAAGTGTAATCCGTAACGGTATTATTAATTAATTTTGACAGTCGCTTTAATTTTCAAATGCGTAACGGGATACCTGCAAGTGATGTAGTGTGGGTATCACGATCCTGATGGGTTGTTGAAACGTGGTATTTGTTTACGTTAGCAACTGTTCCTTCCATTCTATTTCGAGTAAGACAAGCCCGTCAAGTATCCATTCTGTGGCACATTCTAAATTCTTTTGTGAAGATTATTTCTCAAAGATCTTTCACCGCATATTTACATAGAGACTTAACCCAAAGACGGGCATGAAGCCACGTGGAACATGAACAAACTAATTATTCATCAAAGTTGCACAAATCAAAAAGGTTACAATAAAATGCATAATCAAATAATAAATCTGAGTTAAGCGTGAGACGTAGACGAGAAAGAATTATATTCTAATTAACATTCTAACTCATGTAGAGGAACTTTAATAAGCCATTTTGCTGATAAAGATCATAGCTGGCGCGGACGTCATATGTGTGGGTATGGGAAGTCTTCTTCTTCTTGAAGTGCAAGTACCCAATTACGTAAAATTAGTGACATTAGAGAGCTTTTTCATAGTGTTTGTCTAACGTTAACCGTAACGTTTATTTGATTTTCTACCGCTTAGGAACACTGTGATGTGTCGGGAAATTTTTGCGCATGCGCTGAGAATTTCAAAAATTAGACTTAGGGGAAACTAGAACTTTATGCAAAACCTCTCCATTTTCAGAAAAGTTGTGAGGATTAGTATAAGGTAATATTTATAACTGTTAAATAAATAGTAATATTAAGTAAATAACATTCCTTTCGACCCAAATTAGTTGCTACATTTAGGTTGAAATTTTGTTTGAAATTAGTAAAGGTGGAGTCTATGCGGTTTAGTAAATGGACATCAGTAAAATTGTGCTATCATTGAATTCGTGATTCATCATTTAATCATTGAATCCACGGTAGAACATAGTTTTATGCAATTATTGGCGGAGGAGTCTGGGGGAAAAAATGGTTCGTGGCTTAAGAGCGAGAGGACTTTCAAAACTAATTTGGTTCGAGGAGGGAAATCTTGATAAGTAAATGTTGTTCATTCATAGTATAAAATTTAGCGATTTCTCTTACTATTCGCAATCGCAGTGTTTGAATACGCCCTCTAGCGGGGTGGATATATTCAAGCTACTCTTTATTAAGCTAAGTTTCTCCACATAACTTAGAATGTTAATTAACGTGAAGTTAATTAAATTTAGTGCCGTATCGCCAGAGCCGGATTATACCTTTCGTAGGCCCTAGGCATAGCCGTTTTTGGGCCCTCCCCTCCTTCCTCGCCTCCTCCCTTCTTTTCAAAATATGTGCTAAAATTTTCTTTCATAGTTTTTTTACATTTTTATTAATATGGATTTTAATTTACAAATTTGTTTATCGAACTTGCAAAATAATTTATTACCGAAAAATATTATATTTTTATTTGTAGCTTCATAATTTTGTGCAAAATACACTTGTTGTTTATAAAGCTAAATTATTTTTGTCAAAAAATTTTTTTCTTCCTAGTTTTTCGTAGGCCCCTGAATTTCGTAGGCTCTAGGCACGTGCCTAGTGTGCCTATAGGTTAATCCGGCCCTGCGTATCGCACATCCAATTAGTTGAAATATAATTTTTTATCATCTACGTATTTTACTTACCTTAGATTTATTATTTGTTTATGTATTTTATTGTAACTGAGATATATTTATGTTTTGAGTACCTGGCAACTACGATGCATAATTATTTTGTTTATGTCCTCTATGGCTTCGTGTCCGTGTTAAGTAAGAAATATTTAGTGTAAGAACTGAAATCTTAGTGTTTGAATATAAAATGTGTCACTAAGGAGAACTGATACTTTTGGTTTACTCGAAATAGAATGAGAAGGACAGTTGCAAACGTAAACAAATGCCACGTTTCAACAGCCCATTAGGATCGATATGCCCACCCTACGTCACTTTCAGGCATCCCGTTACAGTTACGATTTAATATCTGAATTAACTATCGATCGCTGTGATCACATAATACGTAATTCGTCGTTTTATGTGATAAAAGCTATAATTATACAAACAGTTTTTAAGTTAATTTTAATATCTTTACTCTAATCGGATGTTTAGTTAATTTTTCTTTTTAAAAGCATATTTTTTTCAAGACAAGAAAAAAATTGCAAATATCAAGTTCTGTTAAATTTATTTAATTATTAAATTATTTATTTCTTAAATTTGAGAAAAATAAAAAAGCCATATAGTTTATGTGCTTTACACTTGAAGATATGCGATGATTTTAAACTATTTATATTATCTTGAAGTGAAGAACTTCTAGGCTTTAGAATAGACAAATAACTTACTATATTTAAAAGTTATTAAATATTTTTTTAAAAATTGCCAATTTGGCTGCATTTTTCTACCATGATGAAAATTATCAAAATCACTACATTATTCTCAATTTTTGCAAATTTTAATGAGCCCAGGAAATGCAGCATTGTGCAATCCTGTAAGTTTTTAAATATTAAAAAATTAAGACCACAAATGCATTTCATTTTCACGAAACTATGACTTTTCTTTTTCTCCTTATTGACGTTTTGTGCCATTTTCAAAATCAGCGTAGACAGCGCTGGTTTTAGTTGGGGTAAACTTGACCTAACAGTCATGAGTAACAGTTGCAAACTCACAGCAGTTATAGCATATTATTTCGCAAAAAAAAAAAGAAAAAAGAAAGAAAGACATCATTTCATATGGCGGCGAGCCTTTGAAAAACAGCCTTCATAACAAAAATTGGCGACATTCCATTTTTTGTGCTAAATTTTCATTTGCCATTGTAAGCCCCCCACCCCCAATAATCGTCAGAATTTTATGAAATTTGTCCGGTTATTTTTGCATGCTAAATCGTATACAATAAAAAATCCATATGTTTCTTCAGAAAAAGTGCGTCGTTTCGTCAAAATAAACATATTCTGCTATAGTTACAGTTATATAATTTAAGCGATTTCTTAAGAATACTCCCTTTACACACAGAATGGAAACTCGACGAATCGTTCAAAAGTTATGAAAGTAATCCTTTTTTCCATTGCCGAGTGTAGATAATGTGTATTCAGCAAAATTTTTTAATGAAGAGACTTTCTAAAGTGACCACCTCTATTCAAGTCAAAATTCTTGATGATTCCATCAAAACATTTTGACGGTTTCAGTGCGATTCATGATGGTCCAACATCATTTGATGGTCATCGTCATCCAACAATTATGCATGCATGGATTGTGATATGCCAGCAAACTTCCATCATTCCACGATGGAAAATGCTACTTTAGGACTATGATGTTCGAAATGTTTAATTCTCATGGATCAACAATCCATAATGGTTCCACCTATACATTTCCATGATGGTTTAATGGCAATGCCTGTTGGTTCTCAGAAATATACACTCAAAAATATTTGGTTTTTTAATGTTGGCCCAACAGAAATAAGTCTGAATTCCTACATTGGTGTGATGGTGGTTTTCATGATCATTCCAACCATTTGATTTCTAAGAAACTGTGATGGAAATTTCTGGCTCATGATGGATAATAAATAAATTGGAAATAACGGCTCATGATGGAATTATGTTGGATTGAGATTATGTTGATCCATCAATGGAAAACCATCAAAAATATTGACTTTGGTTTATAGTGACCATTTTGGCCAGTCCTTAAGAATTGAATGACCAGTCCTTAAGTATGGTTACCTGAATAAAAATGAATGAAGTGAGTATAATGAAATTTTCTTTACTTACCATGAGGACAAAAGGTGATGCAATACCGAACGCGATGATTCCTGATCCGAGAATCAGAATTCGAACAGTTTTGGACTTGAGGACGGAGAAATCTAGCAAACGATGTCTTTCGACCACTGGTGCCTTATCCTTCACTTTCGATCTCCTCTGCAGACTCTTCACGTGTAGAATGGCTCTTCTCTGAGGATGGTACAACGATGCCGGTCGGAAAAATATGGCAGTCACGATGATGATGGTTTGTAAACCAGCCAGAACCTGAAGACCCTGTCGCCACCCCATATATCTGAAATAATAAATATATACAGTCGGTTTAACCATTTAATTTCTCTATTTTGAGATATTTTTCGTAATATAATTTTTTCGTAAAATAACTTCCAAATAGCGAAGGGAATTTTTTATTTAACCAACTTTTCTTCTTTGAGATCCACTTTCCTTATTTCCCAAAATATTTCGAAACATTTAAAACTTGGTAAAGCGTTCTATGGGGAAATTGAATTGATTCTCGAACCCGCTGAACTTTTAGAGAAAACAGTAAAATCCCTTTTCCTTTCTTTTTTGGCATTTCAAACGAAAAACTCAGACAAAATTAACGGATTTTATCAATAGTAATTAAACGTTAGAACGCAATGTATGTTTAAAATTACTTTTATAATAAATGCAGCTATAATTTTATACGTAAATTTAGCTTTTTTTAGTTGAAAATGTATGTAGCATGTAACACTGCACATACATTTTCACATTATGTAGAGTGTAACACTGGATTCCTCTATTCTTGCTTTCCATGCAGATTTCTTTTAAGGTTAAGATTTATAAAAAAAATAGTAGATACTAGTTTACAAGATAAAGGTGTATCCATTGCTATTTTAATTATGTCTAGTGTTTAAGATATTTTGTGTTGTTTAAGTATTTCAAAAGATGATTTTCTATTTAACGAACTTATTATCAGGATCTAGTGACTTCGTTAAATAAAGATCTGACTTTATATATCTGTATATATCTGTATATATATATATATATATATATATATAAATTTTAACTAAAAAAATCCGAAAGTACAGTTTTGGACAAAGTTTAAATTAATTTCTAAAAATCCGAAAACAATTTTGATTTACTCTCTTATGCGTATGAATGTTCGTTTTTCAGTTGCTATTAATAAATCTTTTATTTTTCATAATCTTTTTTTTTATTTTTTTATAATCTTTTATTTTTAAATAATCTTTCATTTTAAGTTTTAAAAACTCTACGAAATATTGCTGAAAAATTTTAAAAGATTTTAAACGTGTGTATTTCATTTTATTTATTTATTTATTTATTTTACAAAATTAAAACTTTATGGACAGTAATTTTTTTAATAGAAGTAAGAAGATGTATTGCTATAAGTAATTTAAATAAGTAATGATTTAAATGTAAAAAGAAACTCAAGTGAATTTTTAGGGATTTAAAAAATACTCAATTAAGTCCTTTATTTCTCTAAACTGAAAATGAGACAAATTTTTCATCAAAATTACAATATTATCAAGATTAAAAATAAAATGCCTTATAACTTATGTAGTGAAACTGAATGAAAAAAAAAATTATTTAAAAAAGCTTAAATACAATAAAATAATTTTTAATAAACTAAATTTGCCTAGTTAATTTCACGACTGTTACACTGAATCATCATTTTATTTTACTTGACTAATCGAAGTTTGCGATGCA